CGTCGATTCCCGACTCCGCGGCGGGGTGTCATCGAAAGATGACACATCGTTTTATTTATTTTATTTCTTTTTTTTTGAGTTTTTATAGTTTGGGAAGGGGGTAGGAGAGCAAGGCGAGGGGTCGCCTTTACACAGTTAACATCAGTAAAGCCACTTGACTTACTTAGATGAAGAATGCCCACTGTTCGCGGTTCGACAAGAAGTTGGACCAAGTGAATTTGTGGGCAGTTATACCTACTTGTGACAAGCAGTGCAGACAAATAATGACTTGAAAATCTAAATAGCGAGAAGGATAGGAACAGATTAGACAACTTTCGCTAAGCTCCGACCTACATTCTACGGCAAAAAACTGCATCTGCAAAAGCAGCAATTTACAATTCGACTGTTCTAACAATCATGATATATGTATGCGAGACGTGGGATACCACGCTTACTGTACACCAGAAATTAGTAGTGCCACAAAGAGTAATGGAGCGGCTGATAGTTGACGCTGACGGACTATAGCACATTCCAAATGAAGTGCTCCGAGCTAGATCTAGCGCGAAGGACGTTATCGAAGCAGTGTACGCCGGCAAGAAGAGACGGGCTGGTCATGTGCTACGGATGACAGATAACAGATGGACGAAGCTGATAATGGGATGGTATCCGCGCACGGTTAAGCGAACACTGGGAAGGCCAACAGTGAAGTGGGGAGACCCCAAAGTACGCCTGTACGGTACTATGTGGACTCGGAGAGCGCAATACGAGTTAAATGGAGAAATTGCCAGTTATATCGATGGCGCTACAACGAAGGTCGATGAGATACAATTGCTCAAATATTTAAGTAAGAAAGTATACTCACATTTTACAACACCAACTCGAGTTCCGGCGTGAGTTTGAGCATAAAAACAATACTTCATTCACGGTCCTGCACTCTTCGATGATTTTCTTTTTTGATATGACAGTGGACAAAAGTAAGGATCCCTTAGCCAATTTTCTATGAGAAAAATTAATAGAACTAAGAAGGAATATGGATGGACAAAGAAGATTATTGAATGAAATCCCTGAACGAAGAAGATTACTAAATAATACCCACACAGTATGAAGGCGAACACTCAGAACTCTGCCAGTGGGGTGAAAAGATGCACTTAAACGCCTATACGGAGTTCGACAACCATGATAATTAGTTTGAAAGAAAGAAGAATGGAGAAGTTGCAAGCTGTAAAATCAATGGCCAGAAGAAATGCAATGATGGAACAAGTGAACAAAATGTGAAAGTGTATGTTCCAGTATTTTGAGCAAAATATTCATGCATAATCGATGAAAACGTTATTCGATAGTAATGTTGTATGGCCAGCAGAAACGCTCGGAAGGACGATTAGTGTGCCGAAATCGCCATTATTTTTACGAAAATATTTATTTCAACAACTTAACAAATGTTAATCCGAATGAACAAAGACGTGATACACCTGTGGTGATCACGGGATCACCAAGATCGTCAGAACTGTTGGTTTGTGGATTGAGGTGTTGTTTCTCTTAATAAAGCCGCTGCGACGGTCCCATAGTACTCTTTATGTGTAGCGATCGCACATTCTGCCAATTCTTCTTCAACAACGAAACGAGAAAATTTATTGATAGTGCTATATTCGAGACCAACGCTTCCGGCGCCATCTCCACATGTCCAACTGCCACTGATAGGCATAATACCTGTATTTAAAAGTTTTATAAAAAAACACAGCATCACAGTTGTCTTTACACACACCAGTTTTTATCACCAGAAGACGCGGCTCCAGTGATGCAATCATCCAATAACAAGCAGATAACCAAATTTTTCACTTCGCTTTCTTTCTAAAAGCTTAGCTTACTCCCGTTTATCCACTCCTAGACAAGAAGGGCACTGAAATGTCGTCACGCAGCAGCTGCCTCAAAAGTACGGATTTTAGCCTGTTATCACTGGATAATTAACAATTATCACAATCTATAAACAATGTTGAGCTGAATTCATTGATTATGGAGAGGTATGGATGCGGAAAGAATAGGACTGTAGTCGCTGAAGAAGAAACCACTGCATAGATGGAGATCCAGACTATGAATTAACAGCTCCTCCAGGTTTTTCAAGTGTGTGCAATGCCTTTAATGCCGAATAATTCTGTGAGCGCTAACCTTTTTCATCTGAAATTTGATTGTCGAACGAATCTCTTCAACTTTGGCTGCCAGCGATTCCGAATGAGAGACAACACTCGGGAACTTGCCAGCCTTGTTCAGTCCCGGTCCAAGAATGCGCGGAATCTGTTTGATCAAAGCTTCCGATGCCAGAAATGCATCATAGCCCTGTAATATGCCAATCCACCACGAGGAAAAATCCACCACATAAGAGTCCCATCAAACCCAAGCTTACCACCTCTGCCCCTACCCTTCCAAGCCTTCTGGATTAATCGATGGATAACCAAACCTTTGCCAACTTTTTGATGAGCTTCTTGTTTTTGTTCAGTTTCTTCAGATCGTCTGCATTCATGCATGGTATGCCACATGTGTTAGCCTCATCACAGTGCTGCTGATCGCCCAGCACACATACTTTCATGCTTGGTTTCGGGGCATTTTTGAGTCTGAAGGATTAATCATTAAAACAAAAATTCTGCTTACGAGACCCCCGCCCAGAACTACTGGAAGTGCGAGTTAAAAGACTCCGCGGTATTTCAGCATAGTGTAAATAACTGCACAGGAGTGATACTCAAGCCGCAAAGTCTTGATTACACCAACATTTTTAAAGTTCATGTCCTCTTGCTAGCATTCCTGGACTAGCTGATCAAATATTTCAAAAATAATTAAACGTATTTTGGCAATAAATGAAATGACTCTTTGAAAAAGTAGATTCCAGCAACCAGGTTGACTCTAACTGGAATAACTTGCTACAGAAGAGAACTATTTGCAGCAGAACCGACGATTGTGATACAAACAAATATCTAATAATATCGTGCTTGAATCGACTTATGCAGAAAATAACTGTTAAATTGTAAAATTACATTTAATGTATTTCTCGTTTGCCCCAACTTTTTCTACAGTTCTGGTTTATATTTTACTAACTTATGCATTGTGATAGCATCGTAACATACATATCTTTTTTTCCTAACTTTTGTTTTGTGATAAAATCGTCTTGTTGCGTAACACTTCTGGACTAGCAGATCAAATATTTCAAAAAAAAAAATATATATATATATATATATAAGAATTTCGAAATCTGTTTTGGGGTGGGACAAAACTGATATAAATTTGCTGATCTAATGTCTATTGGAACCTTGACTAAGCAATTTTATTGTCGATAAAAGTAGCAAAAGAAAGGATAAATCTATTGCCAGATCAGGCCATCCTAAACTGATATTTTAACGCTGTTGCGCCCAGTAGTAACACACGACATGAGATGATGCTCAACAGTCATTACAGGGACATCTCGAAACGGTTAAAGCCTTGTAAAGTGCTTCTGATATAGCAGCCGTTGTTCAGTGTTCATAATCCGTTGTTGGAGACGGAACGACGACACGTCAGGATCGCCAGCAAGCTGACCACCAGGAGCAGTACAGCACTGGTCAAACTAACTGGAAAAGTTCCCAAATTTTCTTCTGCAGAACAATGGTACTCTATGGGAAGTTACGGGCCGTTGCCTATTTGCCGAGTCAGACAGAGATCGCTCGGAAAGTGCGAAATACCGTACTGCTTGACCTCTTGAATCTCTCGGCAAAACATTCGTCTGTTCATATCTGAGCATTAGGCGTACGTAAAAGTGTTTTGGATTAGGGAAGTCACAGATCGGCAGGAAATATCTCCTCACGGGCAGGTCATCTGAATGACAGTGGGGATATAAAATGTTTTTGCTTACGCAGATATGCAAACTTTACGGATTTCAAA